AGTTAAACCAATTAGAGCCTCATCTACCATTCCCTTTAAGACCCAGCTGCGTCGCGCCATAAGCGCATTCGCTATTTACAGGACGTAAAGTAAGTGGAAGTGGAAAAACTGAGCATTTCACAAGCAAACAGTTAACAGTTAACAGTTTTTTAACAGAAAACTGTTAAACAGAGCATCTACTGCGTGAAAATGAGAGATAAATGATCACTTTCACTTTCGCTCTTGGATAGACATCAATTAGTCTATAAATAATTAATTGCGTTTGTTAAGTGCAAATATTCGTTTCAAAACTATTTCTAAATTCAGTTCTAATTTCCAGCAAACGAATAAATGAACAATATTAACGAAGTGTGCTCAAAAACCTGAGTTATATCCTAAAACACATGCTGTGCCCCTTATGGTCTTAAACCTGACAGGTGGGCAAATCTAAACTTGTTTTTAATAAAACAAATATAAATATGGATATAATAAATAATACTGCTAATAATAATAACATTATACAAAAGCAAATTGTTATGAATGAACTGAAAAAGCCTCCCGAGATGAAGGCATAAAAGCAGTGGTTTTTCATATTTATATAGGCTAGAAAATAATATGTTTTGTAATATTTTATTCCTTTATATTTATATTATATATCTATTCTTATTATATCCTACATATTTCCTTAATATTTAATTTTTTTCATATGTAAAGATATTTGCCTATTGCTCTCTTGTGCGTATTAAGCAGTGCGTAAGCGAGGTGCAACTCTGCGCCGGAGTTTAGACCAGTTTGTTTTGGTCAAATGAAAAATCTATTTTAGTTTCTCAAAATAGCAACATGCCAGCAGTGCGCCTCAGAACGCCTTCCTTTTTAGACCAGAACGCCTATGGGCGCACAAATGAGCGCTAATGCATTTGATATTTAAACAGCGTAGCCCAACGCCTCAAAACGACTCTTGCGCCAAGCTGAATCTACCAAACAAGTATTGTGCCACATCTTGGGTGTATGATAGGGCCCTCGGGGTGTAATCAATGTGTCCTGGCTAAATTTCCATCGATCAGCCTTTACTCATCTTTGCGTCCCAATCATCCCCATCCACCGAATCGGCTCTATCACTGTCTCTCCACTGCACCAACAGCTAGTGTGTGGTGAGTGCACTGGCACCGTTGTCCTGTGGTTGAAGTCGCATCATCCAAGTGAATGCTGCACACTGGTGGTGGTGTGGTGTGGAGCATTCCCTCATGATTGCGAAGTGCCTTGGGTGTATGGCCATACACGATAAATGTGTTATATAAATACATATTACTTAACAGTATTACTTAATAAATATGCAAATTTGTGCAATTCAAAGGTTTCATGTTGTCAATACACACTAATTGGTTGTAAACATTACATCTATTTAATTTTCCTGTCTGAAATTTTCACACAATAATAATAAAATAGTCAGTCAAAAGGCTTTCAATGACAACATAGAATGTTAGACAGGGACTCAGTATATAGCCCCTTTAAAACTGTTGTGTTATAAAGCACTATTTGCATGCATTTTCTTAATTTGCAATGCATTTGAGCTCTCTCAGCCATGATTTAAACATCATTTAACCTCTTAAGGCCCAAGCTGTTTTTTTACATCCATTTTTTTTTATCTCTCTTTGCTATTTGGGCTTATTGGAACCTAATTAAAATAAAACCTAAGTATCATCTTTTGATATGATGTACTTTTAGAGAAAAATTATGTTCATATAAGTGGCCTCGTGGTCCAAATTTTCATAAAACACTTTTTCCTGATTGTTTTTAATGCATTTATAACACATAGATGGGCAATTCTTCAACTGCGGGCACTTTTATGTCCTTTGATCATATATACAAAAATATATATCATTTTGTTCAAATTCCTCTTTCTTTGTCAAACTAACAATAAAACCTACTTTACAAAAATGTACTACCTTTCTATTATGTAGTTTTCATATTATACAACCTCCTTTTAGGTGTCAAAATCACTGTTTTCACCTTGTTTTAAACTTCAACAATGAACATAACATTTTAAAATATTTATCTGGTATCTGTTAATGTATCTTATTTAAGCACTAGTGAAATGATTTTAATATTTTATAGTTATTAATGTGAGACTATTATCAATATTGATTTTTGTACAAAATATAGCTGTCGCACAGTATCAGTGTCATTTCCACCACAACACTGTAATGTAACTTTTTAAAAAGTTTGTGTGAGAATATTTTGGTGGTTTCTTTGAAAATGAATCGTGCCATCTGAGAACATGTTCAAGATGGAGGGAATTTGAATTTTTATCAACAACACTTAAGGAAAAATCAAGGTAAATATTGCTTGATAAGGAAATACATTCATTCTACGTCATTTCCAAACATGTTGTACTTTTAAAGATATTTTTAAAAACCAAACAAGATTAAGGTAAATAAGAGTGTTTTGTATATATAAAAGGTTAGTATTACTTCAAAGCTAATCGGTGAAGCTGTCATTTCCACCACTGTCATTTCCATCACAACACACATTTTAAAAAATATATTTTTAAAGTTCTCATCACACATTAAAAGTGTATTCACAATGTATAAATTCTCTATTTAATGTACAAATTCAGTTCATTTATTTTCTAATAATCTCTTAACCAAATTAATATTACATTTTAGAGAGTGACAGGTGGACAATTCAGCATACAGCTAACTTATTTCATTGACAAATGTATAATTATTGTAAATATTGTAGAAAAATTGGTTAAACTAGATACTAAAATGATCTTAGGCAATGTTTGACTGCCATAATTTCATTTTGAAATAAGCTGTATATTGAGATGTGGTGGAATTGACATTTGTTCAGTTTACGATGGTAAAAATGTTTCTTTCCTTACAGATCTTAAAACTAGACAAACTGTTTAAACTTATGAGGCTGTTACATTCATTTTGAACAAGTTTTTTTTTTTTTGTCAACTTTCATAAGGCTAGAAGTGCCCGTAGTTGAAGAATGGCCCACATATTTTTTCAACATGTTTTGGCTGTCAGAGAGTAAAAATAATTTTTTTTTTGCCCATTTTGGACAGTTAAACATAGTGTTTGGGACATTTCATATGCTGCAAAACAGTTGCAGGATGACGCTGTATGTCTGTAACAAAATATAAAACATTCAAAGTATTTTAAATAGACACTTCAATGTGCTGTACGCGTATGTGGCCTAGGAGGATAAGTTGCAAAGAACTAGTCACAAATTTTGTCATCATTTTTCTGCGACATAAGCAGCTTCTTCCAAATCACAATTACAAAAGTAAGTAAATAAAAACGCTGTTTGACGGCAAATAAATATTGTTACTTCACATTTGGAGCTGCTTGTAATGATGAAAGCTCACTTATAATGAAACCCCTTTTCCCCTCTCACAGTCTCACCTGGCTGTCCTGGCAGGTTCACAGAAGTTTGGCTGTGCTTTTCAAAGGCAGTGGGGTGAAACCTTTCGACCTGGAGTTTCGCAGACTCTATGCCATTTCAAAACCAGTTCCTGGCTTTTCCTCAAACTCGTCAAATCCCGGCGATCTCAACTTTCCATCTGAGAAACTCCAGATCCCCATGTGCCCAACAGGACTTGCTGGAAACACTGCTGACCACACACAACAGAAATCTTGTAAGCCCAGAACCCAGAGTTTCCCAACACCACCTGTCCTGGCCAGACAAAACAGCTATCCGAGCTTCACCACTGGACAACAGAGATCTCAATGGCTTTCATGGAGGAACACGATTCAACATCCCGTTACTTCTCAGTCACCGCTCTTTAAAGATTATAATGCCAGAAGCCAAACTTGGCGTCCAATACAGGGCATTCACATCAACAGATGTGCACCTGCAGCTCCACATTGGTGTTAGAGCCGTTTATTTAACCCTTGTGTATTGGTCAAATTGACTACCTTTTCATTATGTTCGTGGCTGTTTTTGCCCCAATGACTTCCGTTATAATGACATTTTTTGACTGCAAAACCATGACACCAAATAATGATGCACTTTTGATAGTAGGTGGTTTTCCCTGTTGGGAAGAGGTAAAACCTTTAATTCGTACTGTTGATCATCAGTTCGCACCATTAACCATTTAGATATAGGCCTGAGCAAAAAAGTTTCCGACATTTATATGGAGTTTTATATGGAGTAAAACAACAAATTATAGTGTGTGCATATATATATATATATATATATATATATATATATATACTTACTATGTTTACTATGTTCACTATGTTCTAAGAGTTGAGCTGCTCAAACACAAACATATCAAGGTAAGTGCGCCAAGATCTCTCTCTCTCAAACAGATACACATATACATAAACTATACTCCATTCATTTATTTTTTCATTCGTTTTCTTTTCGGCTTAGTCCCTTTGTTAATCTGGGGTCGCCACAGCGGAATGAACCACCAACTAATCCAGCACATGTTTTTAGGCAGCGAATGCCCTTCCAGCTGCAACACTATATTCCATATAACCATATAATTTTAGACCAAAAACTAAGCTTTTTTTGTAATGTGATTTGTAGAGATCAACAGTAAACAATACATGTCACCTCTTCGCAACAGGGAAAACCACCAACAATCAAGAATGCATGATTATATGGTGTCATACACTTGCAATCAAAAAATGTCTTTATTATGGAAGTCAAAGGGGCAAAACAGCCACAAACCTAATGAAAGGGTAGTAAATTTCCCAGTGTACAGTTGAATTTTTTTTTTTTTACTTTTCAAAGTACTTTCCTAAAATATGTGTCAAAATAAGATGTCACCAAAAATCATTCAATTTGCTGAAACAAAGAGAAAATTGTGGCCAAAATAAGACTCCAAATCAACCCAGAGGGGATGAAAACATCCCAAACAGCACACGAGGGTTAATATAATGTAAAATTATCACTCGCAAAGAACCAAAAGTGAATCAAAAAAGCCACAGAGATGAATATATAAAACAGTGTTACTACCAGTTGGCTGGTAACTTTTATTTATATATATATATATATATATATATATATATATATTAATATATATATATATATATATTAATAATGCCTGAGCATGCATATGATTTAATTGTGATTGTCAAATTGCAGTCAGTGGCGCAAAAAGGGGGTATGCAGTATATGCGGCGCATAGGGGCGCCACACATGGGGGGGCGCCATTGTGCCAAAACTATTTTTCAATTTTTTCTTATAATTATATATTTTTAATACATATAAATGCATATTTTGATTAAAAATATTTATCCTGCATTTTAAATAAATATACAATTGTATTTTATTGAATAAAAAAAATTATACCACCCCTCCCTCTTCTTTGACCATTTGATTGATCCGTTGCTCGGTTACAGTCACATGTTCAAAATGGAGAGAAGAGTAAAGAGACGTGGAGAGCGAAATAGAAAACAAAAAGAGAACAAACAATGCCTTAAAATGAAAAGTGCCATGACAAATTGGATAATAAGGGATTGGTAAGCTTAACCCACACTATTATTACCATACGTTTAATCAACTTCTAATGTTTTTGGGAGCGACGGGCAGCCATATCATTAATTATTCATTATCGCCACTCAGTCACTGCATGCAAGGGCTTTTACTTAAAATAAATGCAGGCGAGGTGGTTTTGTCAGGCAGGGGGACAGTGACGCACCTAACTGCGTCCGAAATCGCATATTTGCATCCTGTATAGTATGCGAAAAACACTATAATTCTATAGGCTAAAGCCATGATGATGATGAGCTGGTGTAAAGTTAACTTTATGGTAAACGCTTTTGATAGTAGTAGATTTATGGACCGTCAACTTCAAAAGAGAACATTTTTTATTTACTGCATTTAAATATTGATTACAGTTACTATAGTTATTTACAAAAGAGCAAAAATGAATTTAGTTTGATCCTCTGTTTTGTTTGATAACAGAGGTGTGAATCTGACTTTAAGAATGCAATGAAAACATTTGTTTTGTTTATGCTAATTTAAGATAATATTACTTGTGTTTCAAATAAAACATGTTTACATATTATTGTGTATTTGTCTATTTACACACCTGAATCTTAAAGTATGCGCTTTCATTCATCTTCAAATCGCGTGTATAGAAGCCGTCTTTATCACTATGGGGTGCGTCCGTCACTCAGTACCGTTATACTGATTCAGAGGCTGCATAAGGGCGGCAATAGACGCATAAAGCTTTACTGGAAAGGACGTGAACGCTGCCGTTTTTACATTAATTTTAACGTGCTGTCAATCCAAAATAATGTGAAAGCTTAATTCTCTTAAACAGTTCTTGCATCACATTTGAGATCGGCTCTGTGCAGCTGCTACTTTCACTTTTCATAGAGACATTACAAAGGCAGAAGATATACGGGAAAATACCAAGTGTGCCGCAAGCCTACGTTTGAGTGAAGGTTTCGGCCGTTAGATCGCCCCCTGGGGGCTGGCTGCAGTACAAGTCATAAAGCCCGCCTCCTCCGTGTTAATGAAGGAGACTTGAGCCCAAATAAAAAAAAATATTACACTTGCAATAAAATGTCCCGAAAGATAGTTCTGGTCGATTAAGGCACTGGTTATTGTGCTGAAATAGGTGCAGATCTTCATTTTTGTAAACAGTTTGTTTTTAGCAGTAATTTAATGCTGGGCGTGTCATCGTGATTGACAGCTGAGATTGACAGTTTCTCAAAGCGCAGCGTCTGAGCTTCGGCAGGAGACTGAAGTAGACTGAAATGTTATTATTCGATTTCTGTGTTATTTTACCATGACAAAATGAGTTCAGCAGTAAACTATAGTTTCTGACATACATGATCCTGGTGGAACACTGTTTATTCGCTAAGTTCAGGGCTTTTTTCGGGCTTTATTAGTTTGCTGATACACGCCTGGCCACCCAGATAGCAAAACACAGTTCCGGCTAGATTCTCGCCTGCCGGAGACTTATCTCTTAGAGCTCAGACTGACTAACGTTACCTCTGCTGGACCTACTCCGGATGCCTGGACTCACTGCCCGATTCCAGTCCGAGTCAATCGAGCCAGATGCGGCGGCCGAGCGAGCAGGCGCTGCCGCATACGAGCCGGAATCAGCCCGCGACGCCGCGAGTAAGTTATGCGCTGCGGCCTGGAGCTGGTGCGATTGAATATATAAAACCCTCATATTTGTTAACGTTATTACATCCATTTGTGTTGATATGACAGCAAACGCATGCTGAGAAGTTCGGGGGGCGTGGTTGATTTTACATAAAGCGTTTGATTGGAAGCTCGACTCTGCTCATTTTCGCGGCTCCTCCTCTGGCTCCATCAGACAGTCCTTCTGCGCATGTCTGGCTCCAATTTCAGCAGTCTTTTGCGACAGTTTGTGCCCGTCAAGCAGGCGTTTTGCCCTCAAGGCGTTCAATGGGAAAAAGGGCTGTCGCGTCGTCCATATTTTTTACAGTCATTGGAAAATACACACACGGAAGAGCGGATAGAATGATAAAATATGGTAGATTTAATTTGGCAAAAACGAGAGGGTTTATAGGTATGAATTGCATACGTTGGCACACACATTTTAATTCATAATAATTGAAAACAATAACATGCAGTCACACATCCGTGTGTAAAGTTCATGTAAAAGTTTTATCAAAATAAACTGTCAAATCATACTTACAGTTGAGCTCAAAAGGTATGAGTAATCTGAAAATTTTTCTTTATTATTACTAATTAATTATTTTGCAAAAATAAGAGGGATTACACAAAATGTATGTTTAAAAGTAGGCTACAACCATAAATATTAGGGCCAGACAGAATCTGCAAACATTTTTTGCTATTTCTGATAAGAATTACAGGCAGAAAATACTACTTAACCAACTGTATTGTAAATAAATCATATGAACATTTTAATATTACTATTATTATATCACAATAATATTAGTGAAATTAATTTAAATACTGAGTAAATATAAATATACACAAATTTACACAAGTAAATACATAGACTCAATGATGGGCTAAAAATCTGTAGAAAACTGCAGATGTCTGCGCATGTAGACTCCGTGTGAGCCTACTGAATATATTTTAGACAAAATAGAAAATAATACTTGGATTAAAAAATTCCCTTATATAAATTTTAGATACCTAATTATAATGATTCTTAACCCTGTTAAAACTGACACGAACAAATAGTCAGAATATCCTCATTTTTTGGAACTGTCATGTTTATTAATCCCATCAAGATCCATTTTTATACCATATACATATTTTTTATAAATTTAGTATGTATCATATTGATACATCAGGCCTTTTGGTAACTTTTTTTGCTTAAAACTAGTTCAATTTAGTTCCCAAAAAGTTTGCCTATAACATTTTGATCAAATAAAACTTTTCAGGCAGTTTGTCTCTATTTTTTTAACTAAACATTGTACAGTCTTTTTTATTTCACTTTGTAAAAGGTGTGATAGCAATTTATTGTTCATGTGAAGACAGACCTTACACCTCTCACATATGCATGTGAGAAGTTATTGCATTTTTAAGTTCTTTTGCCCTTTACGACTTCCATATTTATCATTTTGTTTGGACAAATGTACAAAAAGAACAAAAACAAGACATGTCAAGGTGTTATAATCATTTGGTGAGGAAAATGGAATTAAGAAGAAATTTGGGAAGGGATGAGATGTAATTCTTTGTGACTTAACATGCTTAATGTAATTATACTTTTACTACTTCATACTATTTCAGTTGCGTTCAGAACTTCGACATGTTGATTAGGAAATTAATATGGGGGGGGGGGGGGGGGCAAAACTTGAACTCGCATACATCTGAGTAAATGTGCAGTTGCGCCCCTGCCTACAATACAAAGTTACTTGTTAAATTAAGATGGAAAATTATTTTAAGTTATTTAATTAGCTTGTTTATGAAGACTGCAGAGTGCTGCATGACAAAAATAGACTGAATAATCCCCCCCCCCCCCATTCTTTGTGTAATATTTGTAACATAAAGATAGACTTAAGTAATTATGGTTCGTTTTAATCTAGAAAACCTTTATTTAATCAAATTAGTTACATTCTGAATTGTATTCTTACTGTAATAACTTTAAATTAGCGAAAAGTTTCCAGCCCAAAAGCTTGGGAGCAATTCAATGAGAACGGCCATTTTGAAAAGGTCAAAAAAAGCTCTTCCACTGCCTGCAGTGTCATGAAAATCCACAAGAGGGCAAAATACAGGCATCAAACTATACAACAGGGTTTCAAGCAAAAGAATGATCAGGATGATATTATACAGATCTTATAAACTTGTGTATTAAATATGATTCGTGCTGCTTTATAGGGTAAAGAAGGTCACATTAACCACATACACTCGCGGAAGACGACGTGTTGCCTGGCAACAGCAGAACGCGTTCTAACGGTTCTACAGGGTCTGCTGACGCGCGTAAACTCAGCTTCAGTAATCTGCAAGAACAAGAAATGAAGGTTGATTGTAAAAGTTGCTCTCGGTCGATAAACACATCGAGCAAAACAGTTGAGCGATTTCAGACGATGTCTACAAGACCTTTCAAGTTTCTAGCAGGAATGGAAAGTTGTAAGACCTTGACGGGTAAGTCCAGACACTAAGAACACGTGTGTTTCATATTTGCCTGTTTTATATTATTAAATGTTTGATACTAAAACTCTATTTTTACACTCTAGAAATACTTATTTTGGACTCATACTTACGACCATGCAATATTACACTGCTAAAAATCCATTTGACGGTCTTTTTACAAATGAAAACAGCTTTAAACCGTTTGTGTGTATATTCAGCTGTGTTTGTTTAGCCGAAATATGGCGATCATTACTCCATAACCTGACGGTACTCAGAGGTGTTTTCAGAGAATCCTGAATATAAATGCAGATTCAGTGTTTTAGCAAACAACATCAGTCAGTTTAATACAAAAACACCAGAGTAAAATGCAGATAACAATACTTGAGTCAAAGTCAAACTCTTCCTAACGAATATATAATGATTTATAATGTATAATGGTGAAAATGTTCATTTTAATACACGGGCAGCTATACCATACTAATAATGAATGATAATTTAATTGTGCAAACGAGCAAAACTGTGACTCAGTCAAGACCCAGGTCTTATGTTGGCAACAGCCAAACACATGACAAATACAGGCCCGGAGTCAGTCTGGTGAAAGAGCTGGTTCTTTATTTTTACCAAAATGTAGACCTTTTTGCAGTTTTTTGCCTTATTCATGAGGCTTAAATATTGCATTTTAGTGACATTTTAAGCTGGATTAGCTTGTCGGATGGTCATCATAACCACATCTTTCAATTAACCAAAATATTTCCTAAAGATTTAGAATGATCGGCTTGGTTCAATGGGTTATTTTCACAATTTATGATGATGTAACAGTCAAAATAGGACAGTTGAGCTCATGTATAGGACACCCCCACCCTGCCCCCGGCTACAGGCATGAAATATGACAAAGAAACACAAAAACATGAGAATATTATGTTCATTTTTCATTAAGATTATAAACAGACTTGCTACAATACATTTATTTAAAAAAACACTTGATAATGTTTGATATTTATAATAAGCATTGCTAAGAACTTTGACAATTTAAAAGGGGATTTTCCCAATGTTTGGATTTTGAACTCTCAGATTTTCAATTGAAATCTGGTTGAATTAATGACATAAAAAATCAGGATTTAGGTTAAGAGTTTATTGTTCGTTGTGTTGTAATCCACATTAGGAGAAAGAAGAGGAATGAAGCGGAAAGCGGATAATGATTTTCAGAGTGTTTCTGGTGAAGGCAAACCGTATGCTCTGAGGAAACGCATCAAACTTTCAGAGATGGAGAACACAAGAGACACAGAGATGACCAGCTATGAGGAGAAAACCAGTTCAGGTGTGTCCTGCCACAGATCAACACTTCAGATCATCTACCTTGTATTTGTACATTGTAAAAGTTTATGTTTGTTGTGTTGTAATCCACATTAGGAGGAAGAGGAGAGAAACGGAAAGCGGATGATGATTTTCAGAGAGTTTCTGGTGGAGGTAAATCATACGCTCTGCGGAAACGCATCAAAGTTTCAGAGATGGAGAACACAAGAGACACAGAGATGACCAGTTTTCAGGAGAAAACCAGCTCAGGTGTGTTTCCTGCCACAGATCAACACTTCTACAGCTTCATCACCATAATGTGTTACCACTTAAACTTCTGAAACATGAAGCAGCAAGGTTCATACGGTCATGGAAACCTGGAAAAGTCATGGAATTTTGTCATGGCATTTTCCAGGCCTGGAAAGGTTTTGGAAAAGTCATGGAAATTACATTTACATTTAGTCATTATTATTATTATATTTATTATTATTATTATTATTGCTCCATATTTTAAGTGACCTTCTATTGGTCTCACTCAATCACCTGATGTGATTTCGCAGGTAAGAACTTGAGCTTTCGTATGCAGTGAAATGCGAAACACGTGCTTGCATTTCTGGTCTGCTGTATTCGCATGCCTATGAATGGAAGTCTATGGAGAGAAAAGTGCAGCGTGACCGCAGCTTTACAATAGAAGTAGTTTTACCTACTATTACTTGTTTAACAGACTATTAAGATGATCTCAAATTAGTTTGACATATGTCTGTATATTGGAATAAGGTTTAGTTGTTTTTGCCTATTTTCTTGGCCAAAAACACGCTCTCGCATTATTAGTGCTGTGTAAGCATCATCTATTTTACATATTTATTAAAATAAATTGAAACTATTGTGTGTTTTATGATATTCTGTAATAAATGTAAACATTTTTTATGGTTTACCACAAATATGTAGACATTACATAAAACATTAGGTCATGAAAATTGACTTTAAAGTCCTGGAAAACTCATGGAATTTGTACGAACCGTGAAGCAGCATGCAAAGTATTGACTCAGTTAGCTGGTAAATCCAGTGAGCATGGGGATATTTTGGCAAATATGCAAAAATACATTGTCTGGATCAAAGTGATTGATTTATCTATTATGCCCAAAATTATTCAATTATTATGTTATGATCAAGTTTCATGAAGTTAAGCACTTTCTACTGTAAACATGTCAGAACTCAATTGTTGATTTGAACTTAATTTGGCCACTTTAAAGGTGATTTTCTCAATCTTTATTTTATTTGAGATCGCAACAGAAATCTGGAATGAAGATATGACAATAAATAAACATGACGATTAATTGAAGAGTTTATTGTTCATTGTGTTGTCATCCACATTAGGAGGAAGAGGAGAGAAGCGGAAAGCAGATGATGCTTTTCAGAGTGTTTCTGGTGGAGGCAAACCATCTGCCCACCAAAAACGCATTAAAGTTACAGAGCTGGAGAACACAAGAGAAGACGCCGACACAGAGGCGTCCAGCTCAGGTCAGTCCACTCTTTATGACTGGAAAATGCTGGAAAACTATTAGCACTGCTGTCATTTGTTAAATCTCAGAGTAAAATAAACAGCAATTAATGAAAGAACTGATTATTAATAGTTAATTATTGACTGTAATCCACATCAGGAGGAAGAGGAGTGAAGAGGAAAGCGGATGATGATTTGCAGAGTGTTTCTGACAGAGTCAAACCATACGCTCTGCGAAAACGCATCAAAGCTGCAGAGACGTCCAGCGATGAGAACAGCCGCTCAGGTCAGTCTCCCGTCACTCTTCTACAGTTGTATGAGCATATATATGTCAGCTTAAAGGCACAGTGCACGACGACACAAAGCAGCAGAGCTTTTATTATGCCACAGTCCAGCGCGTCTGGTTCTTCAGCTCGTGATCACGTGTGCTGTTTTATCAGACTAAATACATGTTGGGCTTCTGTTATAATGCTGCTCTGTGCTGTCAAATAAAACACAAACATATTAAAACCTCGCTAGACAATCAGAGCAGAAATAGAGGATGTGTGACGTCATTAGCATGAACACACGCCCTGGCTGTGTCTAAAATCACACACTTCCATACTAAATAGTACATTAAGACAGTATGTGAGCCGAGTAGTATGTCTGACCTCACAGTATTTGAAAAACAGCATGTAAGAAATACCCGGATGACCTACTACAACTGGAGAGATTATGAAGTGCGCATCCAGTGGACGCTACACTATCCCATAATGCACCGCGAGAGAATTCCTGAATGGGACTGAATTCATGAATCACTCTTCTAGTGGTTTTTGGAGATTTTAATGGAAAAAGTCTCACATAATGCACCTTTAAAACTGTGAACGATGCAGTTTTGTGCAAAGTGTTTCTCAGTAGTGCTTCATGACAAAACATCTGGAAACTATTAGCACTGCTGCCATTTGAACAGATCCCCAAATACAATAAATGCCAATTAATGAAAGAACGGCTCATTAATAATGCATTATTGACTGTAATCCACAGAAGTTCCAAGAGGACTGAAGAGAAAGGCTGGATGTCTAGATCAGGACAGCAGAAGTCTGGACACAGTTGCTGCCAAACGAGTGAAAACAGCAGCAGAAGACAGCAGCTCAGGTCAGTGTGCATTATGAGGCTGTAGAGGCGCTATATTGACATATATGATAATATCCCGATATTTTAAAGAAAATCCTCATTCATGATTTGATCCAAGCTCTTTTGTGATGTTTTTATTTTCATTTTCATTATCTGTACATTTGTTTTGAGTTATTATTGTGAATATAGTTTGAGTTATATCAGTCATGTGACTTAAAACTATGAATGTGCGCTCTGATCCGCTAATTCAGTCAATTAATTTAGCTTACTTTTTATTGATCTTTTATCCTTTTACATGTGATTTTCTCAATATTTAGATGTTTGAATCCTCAGATTCCTGATTTTCTGGAATGAAGATATGACAATAAAAGACATGATGGTTTTCATTTAAGAGTCTATTGTTTGTTGTGTTGTCATCCACATTAGGAGGAAGAGGAGTGAAGCGGAAAGCGGATGATGATTTTCAGAGTGTTTCTGGTGAAGGCAAACCGTACGCTCTGAGGAAACGCATCAAAGCTGCAGAGCTGGAGAACACAAGAGACGACACCGACACAGAGGCGTCCAGCTCAGGTCAGTTCTCTCTTTATGACTGGAAAATGCTGGAAAACTATTAGCACTGCTGCAAATTTTGAGCAATAATAATGCTGTCAATAATGATTGATGGATGAGTAAAGTATTATCATGGAGTCTGAAGCAGAGTAAGGCTAAAAGCAGTGAAGTGAAATCTGAGAAATGCTGAAGCAGTTGCTGATGAGAGACGAGTGAAGCGGCAGCAGAGCTTTTATTATGCCACAGTTATTCTCATGATCGCTGATGATTTCTCTGCATTTGAGCATTTTTCATGATATTTGGCAGAATATAAGTACAGGATTCAGCAGAGTATATACTACTGTTAATAAATATAAAAGTCTTACATGATGTGCCTTTTATGACAGAGTAAAACGTCTAATAATACTAATAATGCGTAATACTAATAATGAAAAAACGGCTCATTAATAATTAATTATTGACTGTAATCCACATCAGCTCCAAGAGGACAGAAGAGAAAGGCTGAATGTCTTGATCAGGACAGCAGAAATCAGGACACTGTGGCTGCCAAACAAATGAAAACAGCAGAGATCCAACATGGCGGCAGCAGCGGCGGGAAAACTGCAGCTGAAAACAGCAGCCCAGCTGAAAACAGCAGCCCAGCTGAAAACAGCAGCTCAGCTGAAAACAGCAGCTCAGCTGAAAACAGCAGCCCAGCTGAAAACAGCAGCCCAGCTGAAAACAGCAGCCCAGCTGAAAACAGCAGCCCAGCTGGAAACAGCAGCTCAGGTCTGTCTTCTGTCATAATGATTTCTGTCTAATCTGCAGTCGGGTTTTGGATTTTTTTTTTTTTATAGTTTTACAGAAATATCTCAGGATTAGAGCAGAACACTCACAGAAATAATGTCATAAATGTGATTTACTTTTCTCCAGGATCTATACTTGACAAATATGTGCTTGGAGAGAAGCTGGGACAGGGAAACGGTGGCACTGTCTATCTGGCTACACGGAAATCTGACGGCCAGAAGGTAACGGTCACTTCAACTCTGCAGTGGTCTTTGTGTGTGTGTGTGTGTGTGTGTGTGTGTGTTTTATGCAGGTCAGATCAGACATCTCTCTGGCTTAAATAAGTTTTGACTTTATGCTTTCTTTGCAGGTTGCCATAAAAGTTGTGAATAAGGACTTTTACGGATACTTGTACACTATGGTAAGTATGCATACTCTACTGAAAATATATGAAGAGAACAGATGACCTCCATGTTTAGTCATTTTGAGATGTCGTGTGTTTTTATTTACACGCTTTATGGAAATGGCTGAAACTGCACGTGTTTAGTCATTTCCAGAAATCTTGTTTGTACTGAGAATATTACAGAGTTTCTGGAAATGTCTAGAACTGGGGGTTATCTGTTTCTGCAGATGAACTGTGGAGCACAAAACCAGTCATAATGTCCAGAAACTGAGATTTGCGTATCATCTGAGAGATCAATAAAGAGGCTTTTTGATAATGTTTGCTTTGTTAGAACAATATTGATGGAGATGCGGCTGTTTGACAATCTGGAACATGAAGAAAATCTGAATATTGGGAAAATCTGCTTTAAAGTTAATAACTTAAACTACATTTCACATTTCCATGTAAACTCCTTCTCCTCAGTCTCTTTATTAATCTGGGGTCGCCACAGCGGAATGATCCACCAAATTATCCAGCATATGTTTTACAAAGTGGATGCCCTTCCAGCTGCAGCCATCACTGGGAAACACCCATACACACTCATACACACACATAAATACACGACAGACAATTTAGCTTACCCAATTCACCTGTACCGCATGTCTTTTGGACTTTGGGAGAAACCAGAGCACCCAGAGGAAACCCACGCGAATGCAGGGAGAACATGCAAACTCCACACAGAAACGCCAACTGACCCAGCCGGGGGTCGAACCCGCGACCTTTTTACTGTGAGGTGATTGTTCTACCCACTGCCCCACATCAGATCAATAAGAAATGCACAAATTATATATTGAAACCAAATCTTTACGTAATTAAAGTCCAGGGTCCCCGCGGGTCCTTTAAAAAGTCTTGAAACGTCTTAAATAAAATTTCTGATTTTTTTGATTTGTAATTTTCCATAAGGAGGTCTTAAATTTCATGTGGGATCTTAAGTTTCATGTCTGACTCATCATTTTTATTAGATTTTTTCAACCGCAATTTGACCAGCGCAACATTTGGGGGCAGCACTTCGTGGGTGCAACCTGCATCATTCTATAGGTGACATACGAGTAAGTGATTGATGAAAGCGTTGTGTTGTTGGTTCGCCACCTCAGCATTTTGCGAAATCGCAAGCGTGGGCAAATGTTTGTTTGATGACAATTGGTTGGAGGACGAAAAGTATCAGGGGTGGCTGAAAAAAACAGCCAGAAATCATGAAGGGAAGTGTGCTTTATGTTAAAAGACGATAAAACTGGGGACAATGTGCCATAAAGCGCTCTATTCACACATGAAAGCAGAGAAGCACAAGAAGTATGTCACAGGCAAGTAGTTTGCCCATAAGTATGTTCTCATCGAGCACTTCGACCTCTCAGCCTTTCACAAGGCCGTCCACTTCAAGCAATGCCTTCAGCAGCTTTGCGAATGTAGCTGCACTTTAAGGCCGAAATACTGTGGGTGTTTCAAACCGTAAGCTGCCACCACTCATACACCTCATATGAGAACATGCACTTAGTTTTTCAAGCAATGTTCCCTGAGAGTGTGCGAGTACGTTCACATGTGGAAGGGATAAAACAGCATATTTAGCATGATTTGGTGTTGCCCCATACCTAAAGAAGGAACTAATTTAACAGGCAAACAAGGACGCTTTCATCATAATGTTCGCTGAGTCTATGAACACTGCAACAAAAACTAAACAGTTGGTCTTGCACGTCAGACATTGGTCAACTGATGAAACCGGCACCCCATTGTCAGGGTTTTAAGGTCAATCAGCACTTGGTATAAAAGTTTTCGCATCCCTTTGACCTGTCTTGAGCGTGGCTCTGGTGAGTTTTGCTAATGCTTCACCACATCATTCTGTGTAGTCACACTGAACATTTTCCTGTTGTGTTTTTTGTTTAGGTAAAGTCTTTAATTTTCCTCATAGTGGATTTAAAAAGGTCTTAAAAGTTATTAAATTTCCTGTTAAATATGTGCAGATACCCTGAAGTCATCATTTTGAGTTTTCCCCAAAATATATCTGCGTGACAAAAGACTGGTTTAGTTGTCCAGGGTCACATGTAGTGTTGAATTTGAGGTAATATGTGAAAATAGCTCTGTTTCCATCCACCTGTTTCATGCGCATTTAGGATTATCACATAAACAAAGCTTTATGAAAACGCCAAGATGCACATACATGTTCTCATGCACATAATTGACTAAGAGAAAATTTGATTCCAGAGGAAATAATGTGCAAAAACTAGTTTAGAAGCATTTTTACCAAATAAATTCCAGCATGCACTTTAAAACAGTAATGTGATTGTGTTATAAGACATGATGATATAAATGTGTTTGAGGGTTTGTGCGTCAGTACTGTTGGTTTGCAGCTTTCCATTGTTGCAGATCTGAAATGTTGTTCTGCTGATTGTAAAAGGCCTCAGCCCTCTAGTATCATTTTCTAGTATCAGGCCTTCTTCTACTATCATTCCCTCCAGAATAGTCTTGAGCATCTGTCTGTGCTCCCGTCTCACGTCTCCAAAAGCCACCGCATTCACCGTGTTCATTTCGTTTGGTCTTCTTAAGCGAAACTCATTTCTCTGACTAATATTTGCCGCCAGTTTGTAAGGCAGTGATGATTTTGTTCTCTTTGACTCATTGATGGAAACGCTGCTTTATTCGTGAATCTTTATTTGATATTCCAGTGTTGCGCATAAATGTAATCTGCATCTTTGGATGGAAACACAGCTAGTGACACATTATAATGTCATTTATATATTTGACACTCACATCTAACCTTTTCCTGACTTGATTTTTCTCTAGAATGGACATACTATCCCGGAAGCATATCATATGATGGTCCTCAAGGAACCTCCGCTCTGCCCGCACATCATTGAGCTGTACGAGTACGCCATGGAGGGAAGGAATAACTACCTGGTCATGGAGTACGCGTCCTCGTACATAACCTTGGATGAATTCATCAGGAAGAACAATGGCCTCCTGAGTGAGAGTGTTGCGCGGCAGCTGATCATGCAGCTCATTATCGCAACACAGCGCTGCCTTGAGCATGGCATAGAACATGCGTCCATATATAAAGACAACGTCCTGGTCAATCCAAAGACCCTGCAGCTCAAGCTGATTGATTTTGGCGACAGTTATTATACTGAAAAAGGCCACTGGAGATCCCCCTATCTTGGTGAGTTGCCTTTTTAGTGCTGCTTATTAAAGGTTAAGTTCACACAAAGATGAAAATAGTTTTAGTAATGAATATCTCTCATGTCGTCCTGAACATCTGAGACCCCTGAACACAAATGAAGATATTTAAGATGAAATCTGAGAGCTCTATAGACAGCAAGGGTCTATAAAAGGACCCTAAAGCATCCTCAAAACAGACCGTATGCCTTTAGTGGTTCAATCAGAGCATTATCAGACTCTGAGAATACTTTTATTTCCACATAAAGCTAAAATAACGACTTTATTGAACAGGTTCTCATCCTCAGTGTCAGTATATTGCGCACATTCAGGACAGCTTTGAGGCTTTCACGCATGTTGCTCTCAGTTGTACTGCTGATGTATTATCTCGGATGCGCCTGTGCTTTCTTCCAATCAGAGGAGAACATCAGCGGTGTACGCCACTACACAGAGCTCTTCTGAGTGTGCGCAATATACTGACACTGAGGACAAGAAACTGTTCAATAAAGTCATGATTTTCAGTTAAACTACTGAAGGCAAATATTGTCAGAGAGCTCTCGTGTTTCTTCTAAAACATCTTCATTTGTGTTCAGAAGCTGAGCGTGGGTCTCAGGGGTTTAGGACGACGTGAGGCTGAGTAATTAATAACAATTACTTTTTTGGGTGAACTGACCCTTAATCTGTAATCTCCTGTGTATGTATGGCGATGTCAAGAGGGCAAAGATATTGTAATTACTAACATGAAAATCTCTACCTTGCAGGAGTAACGAGATACCGTCTACAGGAGGGGGAACCCTACAGATCCATTCGTTTTGCTGTTGATTCACATGTCATGGCTGTTTTACTAATGCTGTCCTATATGGTCAATGGATATTTTCCTTACTCCAGATATAAACGTCCACGATTTCACCCCAGATTGTCGGCAGGTGAGAAAACAGCACTACACATGGTGCAGCTCATGGGCGTCGCTAGGCCTCTTATTTTCACTCAGCCCCCCTAAAGGTTTTGGGATTAACTCATGAATGGTCCACAGCTAAATTATCGCCTCAGTCCCCTTTCAATTTCATATGAAAACGGCAGCAGACTTCAGCTCCTCCGTTTTTAACTTATTTCTCATTTAATCAGCAAAGCCGTTCCGAGTGAGAGCAGAAGCTGTGTGTTTATCGGTAGACTGGTATAATATCAGCATGTTTGCAGTTCTTTGCTGTAGAAACTCTTGTATCACTTGTACCCCAATCGGGTTTCCCATCTACTATTTCCTCAGCGCTCCTCTCATCATCACAGCTGTTTCCTCCAGCGAACATGTAACTCTTAACCAACATTTCACTATGTTATTTCAAAATGAACTCTGAATATAAAACACATGACGGTGCATGTGGCATTAACTACAGCACACCTTCATGCACAGAAGCGCTCAGTGAATGCACTCATTTTACCTGCACATCATGTGACATCATCGGACTCAAATTAATTTCTGACTTATATTATGATTATGAAACATGTAAATTAGCCTGTACTATTTTTATATGTTTATTTTTAGGCCATTGTGAATGAGAAAAGTAAAATGTACTGGAGTATAGAAAGTGGTTTGTACCACAGTAAACAGGTGTGTTGAGCCGATTTCACTCATCCAGAACTCAAATGGCTCTGCCTGCCTATGAAATACAGTGGAATACTGCTAGTTTAGTATACAACCCTGCCATATTAGTCTATCTTCATGTGTATTCATTTTAAATTATTACTTAAAATGTGTTTATCAGGCCAATATGTATAACAGTTGGACAGGAAACAGCTGGACATCATGTCTGTAAATTAAAGCTGTCAGACTAGATGCACAATTTATTGTCTTTTTTACTATAATTTTCCATAAAATTCATAAATAACATTATTTATTTTAAAAACAAATAAATGCACAATTAAAAAGCAATTTTCATACAAGTACTGTATAGTCAGTAGACTGCCGCATGCTAAAGGATTTTAAATGCAGAGGCAAAAGCACACAGTAATGCAATGATAATCCCACTTATTACATGGTCATTTTTCAAATTAAAGTAGTATTGCAGCACAATATTTGACTAAATCTCCGTCTGATATGACTCGTCGTGTGTTTGATTTTATAGCTCATAGTAACATGTGTTAGCTACATCATCTCGTATTTGCGAGTTGGTTGATCCCCATTGGCTCCAGATGAAGCACACGTCCAATGAAAGCTTCAGCGATGGTCACCGAGTTGGTTACTGCTAATGTTTGAGTGTGGCGCATTCATCTGGAACTGTGCTAATAACTGACTGAAACTAACTGTGTATTTAATGATTTTATTGGACGACGTCCAGCCAATCAGAATCAAGAATTTCACCAGACCATTAAATAAATCTCTGTGTTGTGTCATCATCAAGAGCATCCATGACTAACATGTTCTCTCTTTACTATTTCTGCAGAATGCAAGGATCTTCTTCGGTGGATATTCAGTTACCACCCTCGAACAGGACCTGTTTTAGAGGAGATTATAGAGCACAAGTGGTTCAGCATGACGTAGAGCCCATCAGCAGCAGGAAACAGGTTTTCATAATTCCATTTACGTCAGATTGTTTTGCTGTTTTCTGCTTCTGCTTCCCAAATTCTGCACTTCCTCCTGCGAGTGTTGCAGTCAGAGCTGCATGTAAATGAGGGCCGGTTGAAGCGTCCCTATTGGTCCACCAGCTCTAGACCGACAGCTCCTCCTTTAGCCTATCAGGCGAGGAAGGAAGCTGATGTCAGTCTAATGGCGGCCGATGCGCACAGGCGACGCCGGAGATTGAGTGTTAGCGCTAATCCTCAGCTGGGGTAGAATGTGTCTGCGGCAGGACAGCATTAATCGTTTGAAATAAGTAAAGGAAAGCAGGTTCATTCACGTTTAGACAGGACGTAGTGTTTTATATGAACTGGGTTAGCACCGATTGTAGAGTAAATATTCATATTAAGGGGAAATAGTCACAGATTAATAAATGAAACTGCTGGAAAGGGAGATTTATTAGCATACTGGTGTGGTTTATTTATCTAGCTGTAGGATTAATAGTAAACGGTAAAGTCTGTGTATTATTACTGTAGTGCGTCAATACTTTATAAAGACAGGAAGCCTGGTTTAGACAGTGCTCGTAGCTCTAACGGGACTTTAGGCAGGTTTAAGTGAGATAAGCGCATATAACAGGGGCGTCGTGGGCCGGTTTTGAAGGCATTTTCTCTTATACAGAGATAGGTAAGGGTGGTGTAGATGGCGCTGACGGGGCAGGATTATATGGGCCGATACGCTAGATATAAGAGCCTCCTGCCACAGACAGATTTTAGCCCAGCTGTGGATTTGTCAGATCTGATGAGGATTATTTCTAGTGCTGCTGCTCTCATCTTTCTGCTTTTTTCTTCTTTCACTTGTTCTCCAAGCGAGCGCTGGATTTCTGCAGATTAGCTTTAACATAAACCAGCAGCTCAAATAGTTTAATTTTAACCGCAGGGTTTGGTAAATAACAGCATTTTAGTCAAGACTGGGGGATTTAGATAGTGTTTATGGACACAAGTGTAGTTTAGAGTTGGACTTTGTAATAGATTTATTGATATTATTAAGCTTATTGATAATGTTGTGGAAATCCTGTGCTCGTTTGTAGAAATTCATTGGTCCTCATTGATGAAACATTAGTAAATATCGGAGTAAGTTAGTGATAGATAAAGGGTGGATAGATAATCGGGTTCGTTAGTGAATTATCATCAGTCAGGGTTAGGGTTTAGAGTTAGACATATAGAAAATAGAGGAATAATTATCTTTCATTAATGAGGCCAAATCTCAGCTCTTTCTTTCTTTTTCAGCTTTTTCTGCTTTCCCAGTTCCTCTAAACATTTTATTTTGGGATTAGAGTGTTTGTTAGGGTAAGGGTTGGGTTAGGCCTTTATTTTGAAGGGTTAGGGTGTTCTTAGGGTAAGGGTTGGGTTAGGGTGTTTGTTAGGGTTAGGGTAAGGGTTGGGTTAGGCCTTTATTTTGAAGGAAGGGTTAGGGCTGGGGTGTTTGTTAGGGTAAGGTTGGGTCAGGTTAGGGTTTGGTTAGGATTAGGTTTGGGTTAGGCTTTTGTTTTTAGGGTTAGTTATTCATTGTTTTGCTTTATGTCTGGTTTCTTTAGTTTCTCCTGTCTGTCCTCTTCTCCATCTCTGTTGTGTGAGCACTGCACAGATTGTTATTTAAGAGCGATTGTTAATTATTATACACTTCTCTGTCCTCGCCTGTGGGGATTGGTCGCCATTAGAGTGACGTCAGCTTCCCTCCTCGCCTGATTGGCTGGAGGAGGAGCAGTTAATCTAGAGCTAATGGACCAATGGGGATGCTTCAGCCGGCCCTCATTTGCATGCAGCTCTGACTGCGACACTCGCTGGAGGAAGTGCACAATGTGGGAAACAGAAGCGGAAAACAGCATCATGTCAGAAAACAATGGAAGTATGAACTCCTGATGATGTTATTTTGTCACTGACCACATGTGTGCTGCTCTTTCTATGATTTCTGTGAAATTGAGACTATGACCCCTATGGAGTGTGTTGAAGCTGTTTTCTGTTGATCAAACTGTAAACTATTGTCTTCAATAAACTGTATCTCTGACTCCTGCTCTTTGTTCATCACACCACAGACCTAAGCTTTGCTCTCATCATGTGCTGCAGATGATGTGACAATAAAAGTGATTTGATACAAAACGATACGTCAAATATGTTTTTATAACTGCAGACTCAATTTAGCCTTCATATAACAACATCATGTAATGTTTAAAGCTCATTGCCTTGCCATTTGTAGGATAATATGACACACTCCCCACATCATTCTTTAAAACGGTGTTCAACTGTCTAGAAATGGATCTCCTACTAGTGGTAAATGCTTCACTTCTCTCAGGGACTTTTCCAAACATACCTATAACTGCAAAGAGCATCCTTGATATCACCCTACTGAACAACTACAGGCCCATCTCAAATCTCCCTTTCATTGGTAAAATCATCGAAAAAAAGCTGTTTTTAACCAGGTTAACGTTCTTAAGGTGCAAGGGGTGTTTAGACAGTGTTCAATCTGGTTTCAAAGCACATCACAGTACAGTGAGCGCTCTTATAAGGATAATTGATAATTGTTTATAATTGTTCATTTTGGTGACGCATCATTTATTATTGCAGAAACCTAAAAACAGCTCATTCCTGTATCCCTTCAGACTGCCAGGAGAGCACCATGATCATAACTTTAATAATAATAATAATAATAGTAACTGACATGATTTGTACATTCTCTGCTGAAGCTCCAGCTGCAGTGAGGACAGAAAATACAGTAAGGCATCATTCATTCAAAGCGTTCAGAAATGATGAAGAAAAAACTGTACTGTATACAAAAAAACCCAACTAAATATGGCACGGCTTCAGTGCTGGAGACGCTTCTGGTCCCACAGAAAGATCCAGAACACAGTCAGTTCTTCAGTTTGAGGAAGACCATGATTTACTGTCCATTAAAGCACCGCTGACGATGAAGAAGACATCAGGCTCCGTCTCAAATCCTCCAGTTCACCACACTTGACCAGCAGCTGACGCACAGATGAAGTGTTTGTCTTGTTTTCCACAAATAACATGATGTACAGTTGAGTCGGAATTATTCGCTCGGCTGTGAGTTTTCTTTGTCTAATATTTCCTAAATGATGTTGAACAGATTCAGGAAATGTTCACAGTATGTCTGATAATATTTGTTCTTCTGGAGAAAATCTTATTTGTTTTATTTCGACTAGAATAAAAGCAGTTCTTAATTGTTTTGAAGCCATTTTAAGGTCAATATTATTAGCCCCCTTAAGCAATATTAGTTTTGGATTGTCTCCAGGACAAACTTTTATTATTAGAAATGTGCAGAAAAAATCTCTCCAACAAACCGAAATTGGGGGAATAAATATTCACACGGGCTAATAATTCTGACTTTAGCTGTCTGTGTGCGTGTTTGAGTGTACTGACAAAAATGGTTCATTAAATTTATAATAAAAATGTAAAGTAAGTGGTTGTAAACAATTTATATTGGCCGGAAATGAACAAATTAAATGCAGTAATATTCAACTTAATATGTTTGTTTATATATATATATATATATTGTAAGAGCCATTATGTTTGTTGTAATGCTGTTTTTGACCACTGGGTGGAGTGTGGGTTTGGAGGAGTATATAGGTAGACAAAGACTTAGAACAACAGGTGTGTAATTAGAGGGAAGCACAACATTTTTTGAGCGTGTTTGAAAGAGCTTTATGGAGGCATTCAATGTGATTTTATGAGCATTTATATACCAGACTGTAAGTGGAAATTGAGCCATAAGAACTGTCTGTGCAAAAAATAAATCTGATAAGCAGTATTTAGAGGATGATTCGTTTGTTGAGCTCTCACGCATCAGAAACAACCCTACAACATCTCAAGTGACAAAATGGTCATTTGTGTCACTACATTTGTCAAAAAATGGCTTCTTTGTGGATCATCATGCATCATTTTTGGACTTTCTTGAGGATCAGCCGTGATGAACTGCATGAATGAAACAAAGGTATGTGTAGCGCTACTTAATGAATGACTTTGTGTGCACACAATAGCGTAAATCCAATGCATTGGTTGCTTAAGTTTTAAAGTTTGCTAAGGAGGCAAACGATTTC